CAATGATCCATATTGAATAACTAAAGTATGATATCGGTTAGAATGTTCCAGAGCAAACTGAAAGGTGACCACGCCACAAATCATATCCTCGTTTATTGGTTTTAACAGTAGCCTACTACTTAATTTGGTTCAGATTCGCTTGAATTAATATTGTATCTTTATCTATCCAAGAAAACATTTAGCATAATATTTAATTAGTTAGTAGTTTAGTGAATGAACAGCGAGTGTTTTTATAATCTTTCTCAAATCCATGTATGCCCGGACGATAAAAACCAAAACAAGAGGATATTTGTCCGGTTGTAAATGAGCTAGAGAATGTTCTGTCGTTGTTTGAACACTATATCGTTATATTGACCTATACGGACTCTATATAGCACAAGGAAGTAAACAGTCAAAAAGAATGAATGGTAACTGGGAACAAATTTGATCCAACAAGTTTCCACATTTGGACACACCTGTCGCTGTTCTGGCAAAAGTTTCTGCATGCCATACACCTTTCCTGTTATCTTCCAAGTCAAATGTTTGCCAGTGTAGCATGAGCAGTTTGACAAATCATTGATTTAATTTAATGTCCAGGGGCCGGTTGCTCAAAACTCAGTTTTTTTTAACGATCCGTTAAACTCTAACTGGTCGTTACCTTGCTAAAACGTGTCGTTTGTTAACGGTCCGTTACATTTCTGTTGCTGGAAATTCAATTTTATCACCCTTTAGCTAACAGACTGATTAAGGTTAATCCAAAAGACGACTGTTTGGTCATTGGCTGAATTTTAAAATTTCAAATTCAATGTACATGTATAACAACTTCAAGGAAGTCGTTATAAACAGCTAGGGCGCTGTTTCACAAAAACTTAAACTAAAATCACTAAAATAGATTTTAACTAAACTCAAAGTGAAATTTAAAATTTTATGTGTTTCATGAACATCGATTGTAACTTAAAATGCAATTTGAACAAAGTTTAGCTAAAATTGCTTGCGCCTGCGCTTTGCACGATTCCGGTGAGTGCACTTAGGGTGTAAGCATATACGCTTAGGAACTGAAAACTTACTGTTGCCAGGTTGAACTAACAGTTACAATACCAATGGGGTATTCATACGTTGTAGGAATGTTTGCAATTGGCCAGACAGCTGTAGAGAGATGAAATAAATGATTTTATTGCCAGTGGCGGCACCAGTCGTCGGTGGTTGGTTGGGCAAAGCTGGGGCAAGGTTAAAGAGACAAAGGCACGAGTTTCAACTAGGGGCAGGGAGGTCTCCTCCAGACAATTTTGAAAAACAGGCTGCCGGAAATGCAGCCTGGCAGTATTTCATGCACTGATCGTTGAGGTAAAGTGTCAAACTAACGGACTTGCGAACCGCGACAAAGCCCAATCACGAGCGCCAAATGGGGGACCTTCCAGAGAAAATTTTGAAAAATAGACTTCTGGAAATCCTGTCTGACAATATCCAGTCAGACACCGATCGTCGTGATAAATAGATCTGAACAGATACCGTCCGTCGCCTGATCACTAGTTTATCCGACCAGAGAACGAAATGTCAAACGAATGGACTTGCGAACCTCAACGAAGTCCCCTCGTGAGCGCCAAAGTAGCGAGTCCGAGGACCTCCCCAAGAAAATTTTAAAAATAGACTGTTGGAAATGCTGTTTGACCGTATTCAGGCACCGAATGTAGAGATAAATCAAGCCGATCAGATGCAGTCTGTCGCCTGATCACTAGTCTATCCGACCCCAGAGAAGGAAGTGCCAAATGAACCTCAACGATGCCCCCGAAAATTTTGAAAAATTGACTGTCGGAAATGCAGTCTGGCAGTATTTCAGGCATTAATCGTCGAGATAAATAGAGCTTACCAGATACCGCCTGTCGCCAAATCACTAGCTTATCCGACCAGACAGGAAAGTGTCAAACGGACGGAGTGAGTGACTCAAAGTAAATGAATATTTTCGCCACGATATTTTGTGACATAGACTGCCGGAAATGCAGCATTTCAGACACTGGTCGTCGAGATAAATAGAGCTGACCAGATACTGTTCGTCGCCATGTCACCAGGTTATCCGAATAGATGTTTATTGCGTATTATTCACTTTGTATGGGTGGGTTGGCCTTGAACTTGCATGTTGCTTTCGCGACCTTGGCATTTCATTTACACACAGGCAATGGAATAATGCGTATCGATAAACTAAATAGCTTGAATTTCGTAATTTTATGGTATTTTCGATAACAGAAACTATTGAGAATTGTCACAAACATGATTGTTATATTTCTGACTGAAGCGACTAATCTAGACTTATTGGATAATGCCTGTTTATCTTACTAAATTAAAATGATTTTTCCCCAATATAACATACCCTTGGCTCCTATACAAAACTTCTGTGTTATTAACGAAAGCCTTCATTAAGAAATAATAATATGATATTAAAATTTAATTTCAAACAGGCCTTTAACATTTTTCAGTAAACACATTTAAGATTATTGATTTATCTTTTTGCAAACCCCAAAACCATATGACTTTATGAGTAAATACTTTGAATATGGCATGTCTAGTATTATAGGCTGCCTTCTAACACCAAGAAATTGGCAATTTTAAACCATCGTAGGCCTACACGAAGATATTTCTATTTTCATAGATAAGAGTGCTCTTCTTTCCATGACATTAGATATGAAGTGAATTGAGATTTGTTTTTTTTTTTGGTTTTTTTTTTTTTTGGGGGGGGGGGGTTGTTTTCTTTTCTTTTTCTATTAATTATTTGAAAATAGTATATTTTATACTTGAATCATATGGTATTATGTATAATAGTAAAAAGAGTTTTGTTTAGTGGGGTTTTGAGTGCTTTTTTTTGGAAAAGAAATTGAATGAGAATTGTTTTGTGACTGATAGTATATTAACATTTTGTGACACGGCCATTGGCAATATTATCAATTTCCAAATATATCTAAGATGAAATTTTAGTTTTTAAAGACGATAGTTTTTGTGAAACAGGACCCAGATTCTTCGAAGGCCATTTCATGCATATTTTTATCATCTCTAAATATGACGTGTGTGAAGATTATGAAAAAGCCCATATTACTTTCAAGTTGTACTCATTATCTTGATAGTTTAGTAAACATTTAAATTTATCTACCAATAAAACATTGTGCCGGTGATATCGCTGGGTGCTTAGTATTTAGCAATATAATATTGTAATGCGCCATTGAATATAATTCGACTTTCTGTTGAAATGAAATTGCTGCGGTTTTTATTTTCTTCTTTTCGTTTAAGAATACCATTGTGGACGGTAATGTTAAACTGACAGTGGTCGGATTCTGATATCAGCTCTAGTCCATAAGTAAAATTCGCCAATAGAGCTTTTCCTTATCGACTTCAAGAAATTCACTATTTGCTATATAGCTTTCTCAAAGGCCAAGAAGAGACATCGAAATGTTATGAATTTGGTAGCTAATATCTACTAGTATGTTCTGTTAAAGACCTACAGCCGGGCAAACACTATGCAATATAATTGACAAAATGTGCTCCCTAATGTTGTACAATATCCTACGTACATTTTAATGGTTATTAAGGTATATGCGTTCTCGTTTCCCGGAAAATTGGTCCCAGATGGTATATCGATCTGATCGATCAACACCAATTAAAGACAAAATAATGAGCGAACCATCCCATAGATAATTCAATTTGGACTGGTTTTCTTGCATATCTAATCATGCTGTATGGATTGGACTTGTAATCACTGGACTACAAAAACGTTTCAAACCGTTTTGTGTATGTTCGTGATTCTTGCTTATATTCGGGTGGTGTTCAGGTTTTTTCAAAAGATTTTTCCTGTTTTTTGGATATTTATAAACCTTCACGAACGTTACGGTCATCCAGTGACAATTTTTATTAACGGAAAAAGGGCCAATCTTTCAAGTTATGGAGAGCGATCCTTTCTTTTTTTTTAAAGCATCCGCAGTTATACCTCTTTATCAACTTTTCAATCTAAACTTAAATTTTTTTCATTCCAAGAGGCTTTTAATTCTTGAATTCATTTTAAATCTTCCCCATAGGTGTAGTTTTCAATTCTTATATATATTTATATTTAACTAGTTTATAGTTACATGTATTCATACTTTACTGGTTTCATAGATATCTTACTGTTTTGACTGATTTTATAGACATTTATTCATTTTTACTTTTTTAAATAGATATTTATATTTTATTTTTATGTTTTTATAGATTTCTTATTTATTTTTTACTGATTTTATAGATATTTATTTATTTATTTTTTACTGATTTTATAGATATTTATTTATTTTTTACTTTTTGTATAGATATTATTTATCTTTTTACTGATTTTTATATTTTCTATACCTGTAAAGCGCATCTTAACACGTATATATAAGATAGAGCTATATATATGTTGTATAATAATAACAATAATAATAATAATAATTGTTTGTCAAACGTAATTCTTGTACATTGTAAAACATAAATTTACGTTCTCGATTTTATGTTCTTGCCAAATAATTGCCACTGCTTGTTTTCTTTGCTAAATGATGAGGTAGGCTACTCAAAAACATCCATTTTATGGTTATGTATGAAATATGGAAGGCATGACTTTTGATACTGTTTAGGGGTTGACTTGACTAATCACCAAAAGCGTTGCGCAGATTATGGATCTGTGACCTTAATGGTATGAAACTGATCCCAGGTCTTTGGAGAAGCGTCGACTACCGACGACCTCACCCCAACCATGGCAAATAAAATTATATGACAAAAGATAGTCAATGGAATAATAATGCGTCTTTAGTCCTGCCCCACCCCCTCCACTTCTGTGTGAATGTTACTCCCCCACTCTTTCTCTGTACCTCCATCTCTCTCCTACTTGCCAACTGTCGATGGGTAGAACTGATTTCAGGTTGTTCGTATGTGATCAATCCATCTATTCTTGACATTACAGGAAGGGGTGGCTTTAGGTACACGGGGAGGGGAGGGGGATTTACTACTTTGTGATTTAAGTTAAAGATCTATTCGGTTTCAACTTTTATTTCCTTTGAAAATAACACATTATACAACAATACGAAACAAATACCCCAAAACAATGGAATATGTTTCCTTCACAAGATAAATAATAAAATCAAAAATATTTTATATGAACAAAAATGCAAGTAAAATTTTGTAGTCACTTTCGAATAGAGTGTAACTGTTTTTGATGTTATTGTATTTTAAACCCACCCGTCCCTAGTATCGAAGCTCTATATAACCTTTTTATTTTTTGTTGGAATAACACAACCCACATTTTCTAAAAGTAAATTGTTTTTCTTAAAAGTTTAATGCAAAATATTTGTTTGTGCGGTGTTTGTGGAATTAAAATGAGATACGTTTGTCCGGTCTTATTACGCCCCGGTGTGGATTATTTATTTGCTGGCTTCAACTTTTGCTTCACTATCATTGGTGTCTTTTGAATCAAAGCTTTTCTTATTGAAATGACTAAACCCGCTTCCTGCACTACTTATAGAATCAAATGGTCTCTTTGCAAACCCACTCATTTTTCCCGCGCTAATAGAATCAAACGGCCTCTTAGCAAAGCCGCTCATACGACCATTACTGATGGAGTCGAAAGGCCTCTTTGCGAATCCACTAATACGACCAGCACTGATGGAATCGAATGGTCTTTTGGCAAATCCACTTAATCTACCGTCGCTTATTGAATCGAATGGCCTTTTAGCAAATCCACTCATACGACCAGCACTGATGGAATCGAAAGGCCGTTTAGCAAATCCACTCAATCTCCCGTCGCTAATGGAATCGAAAGGCCTTTTAGCAAATCCACTCATACGACCAGCACTAATGGAATCGAAGGGCCTTTTAGCGAATCCACTTAATCGTCCGTCGCTTATTGAATCGAAAGGCCTTTTTGCGAACCCACTCATACGACCAGCACTGATGGAATCGAAAGGTCGTTTGTGGAAGCCGGCGAAAGAAGAACCACCGTGTATAGAATCAAAGGAGCGCTTGTCTTCTTCGTTGGCTACTGGTTCTTCACTGCTATCGGCGTCCCGTTTTTCAAACATGGAAAGACTGCTGTGTCCGATTTTATCGAATGATTTTTTGTTGAATCCGAACAAACCGTTCTCATCTATACGATCGAAGGGTCGTTTGGCGAAACCTGATAAACGACCGTCTGAGATTGAGTCAAAAGGTCGCTTTGCAAATCCGGACATTTTCCCAGCAGAAATGGAATCAAATGGTCTTTTAGCAAATCCGGACATTTTCCCAGCAGAGATGGAATCAAATGGTCGTTTGTTGAATGTAGCGAATGAACCTCGGTGTTGAATCGAGTCAAATGGCCGCTTTGCAAAATTAGCAAATCCATCCCCAACTCTTGATATGGAATCGAAGGGTCTCTTATTAAGTCCTTCAAACGCGCCGCCATGTCCTATTGCATCAAATGATCGTTTTATAGCCGTACCATCGCTGTTGACTGTTCCTTCTTTAACCTGCAAAATACAAAATATACTAACTTTAAAATAGCAATGAAATAGAGTTAATCTAACTGCTGCCTTTCCACCTACTTTTCTTAAGACTCAAATAATGGTTCTTTTACGTGAAAGTCAAAGACAATGTGTATACGAGTGGTCATCCGGTTTGCGTTCATCCAAAACAGAGACGAAGCAAGATTACACCATACAAAAACCCATATAGTTCAACTAAATAAATGACCAAATGTCAAAATGTCCCCCACCCCACCCATCCGGAACACTTTAGAACATGGGCAAAGTAAGTTTACACCATAGAAAAATCTTCAATTTGACCAAATATTGAGGTTTTTATTTTCAACGAGGAGTTGCCTTTGACGCAGACCATTTTAATGGTGTGGATATTACAGAACACATACATTTGTAAGTGATATATGACATTAATTTTTAACCGCCACTTATACATTTCTTTTAATCAATGGAAAGGAAGATAGAACCATTCATTAAGTAAATACCCCGGACAATAATATGGATTGAAGTGAATAGTATTATTTCTATTGAAGAAGGCACTGAATGCTGTCTCCGTAATTCGTCAGTTACTACGGTGTTCTGTAAATGATCCGGATCGATTTGGCCCAGTATCACTTATATGCTAAAGATTAACTAGATTTCCTTTTCCTCGACTTGATTACTCTTTATTGGTGAAAGTTCTTCCTTATTCCAACCAATCGATGGACATTAGTTCCAAATTCAATGATAAATTAATTTAGAAAGGGATGATTATGTCAACTTTATTGGATAGAAAAAGGTATACCAGTTTCGTAATTTTTATAAATGGAAACAACTGGAGACGTGTTAGTCCTATAATTATAATTATAAGACCTCAAAAGAGAGAGAGTTAAATTACTTTTTACATAATAAAACCACCATTCTCGTTAGGTCTGTCACTTCAATTAGCCGCTATGTCAGAAATAATGGTTGGATCTTAAAAGCAAGGACTTCCCTTGTCAGTGTACACATTACCGTGCACGTATGTTTGACTCAAAATCAGGAGTAAGACGCTTGCTCGCTAGTCTGGAGGTCGCGCGTTCGCTCCCGGTGTTAGATGAGAAAGTTCATGTGGATTTTCCGGCGTGGTTTCCCCCCTTGTCAGTGGTACAGGAGGGAGGGCCTGACAAGGACAGCTGTCTAGTCGTTCGGATGGGAAGAAAACAGGTTTCGTGTACACATTGGCGTGCACGTAAAAGATCCTTCCCTTGGAATTCGATATAAGAGTAGGCCGTAGCGCCGCTGTCCAGGCAAAATTTCTGTCATAGCACACTGTATGGCGTATACCCGTCGTCGTAGGAGCAGAACAGTAGGACGTTAAATCCCATTTAACTCAAAATGACCAAAGTATTGTGATGAATACTTAGAATTCATGACGGTTATCAGATGGTCAATATAAGTTGTGTAATAGACAACCATTGTCATTAATTTGCTTTCTTCATTGACAGTACACCGTTTTTATTTTAATACACAGCTTGTTTTTTCTCTGAACGTTTCTACAACCAATTAGTTTGGTTGCAGAGATTGATCCACAGTCGATTTGTGTATTACCCAAATCATCCTATAACGATTGTATGGGGCAAATAAATATCTTGGTATGAGTCTAATGTAATAGGTAAGGTTATTATAAATATTTGATATGTCAATTAGTGTCTTAGTGATATGACTGTATGTGATTGACTATCAATGAATAAATAGCTTGATGGATGTACTGGATTCCTACTGGCAGAAAATATTTGGGGTTTAAAATATTTATTTAGACAAAACTACAGTAATACAATGCATATTAAAGCAATACAGAAGAAACACTGTCGAAACATTATGTTAGTTTTTTTATATACCTTGGGTTTAATAGATACTTTTAGAGTTCGAGGCATGTTCATATTAAATTGTGTTAAAGGTTTGATTTAAAAAAAATATATAAACCTTTTAACCCAATTCCCTAATTTTGTTTCATAAAGACATCCCAAAGACACCTATTTCTTTATAAACAAGATATCAAGGAAGCCAAGACTGGCCAAGATAGTGACGATGTCAGTCGTCTTGGAATATAACCCTTTTAGTTTCATTCAATTACAATTCAAATCTACTACCAACTTGGTGAAATGACACTAGAAACAGTTCCTTCACATAAGTACCCTTTCTATAGTGATTTCAGGTGGTCAAACCACGTCGATAGAATATGTTCTTCTATGTTCAACCTCATGTGACACTCATTAACCTACTTGTTCTTGCAATACACTCAAACCCAATCTATATTGTTCATAATTTAAATTGTAAATGTGACTACGTCCTACATTCTGGACTGTCCAGATTTGCATTGGATATTAAATAATAATTTTTTTATTAATATGGACTGGTTCAACTCTTTGAAGGTATACGTCCAAGAATAAAACAAACTAGAAGCATAAAATGTAATTGATCATTCGCTAGAGAATAAAGACACCCTATTCTTCAATTCGAGATAACTGGAACTATCGTAAAGATTGAAATAACTACGGGATTCTTTTAGCAAGAAAGATAAAAATGGGTTTATAATGTCACAAACCTTTGATCTGATTAACAAATTTCTCCCTCTGTTCATTTCCATTTTCGTATTTATTTTGCTCTTTTGTTATCTTTAACATTGCAATGAACTTATTATTAAGGAAATGGTGTTTTGGTGTCCAATCCTTTTTACGGTATAGATGTTCAAATTAACTCACACCAACCATAAATTGAATTAATTCATCCTTCTACACAAGAGTTAAATTTATCAAAAAAATATAAAAAAACTAATTTAAAAAAAAAACCCCAACAGAAAGTGACCTGGATATCTTTTTTCCTAATGAAATAAAATCGACTTTTCCTTGCGCCTAATTACGTAGAAAGATTCTTAAGACGAAAGACTCCAAACTGCATTAGTAAAATTAGTTCGATTAGGAAATACATCTTTTGTTTTATATAAACTGGTTGACAAAAAACAATACCGGTAACTCTATTATGAAAAGAAAACCCAACCAGAAAAAACGTCTATTGTAGAAGAAATGTGCAATTTACTTTAGTTTAATTCTGATTTATAGGCAATTGGTGCATTGAGAACACGTAAAACGGGGTAGAAGGTTATGAATTGATGAGACCTTGGTTCCTCATATCCAGTTTTGGGCTTCCCTCAACCACACATCTTAACTTGAAGGCTAATTTACAAGATGCAGTGTAGCGAAATGTGACGGGGTTTAAAATCTTTTCTTTTCCATATATCCTAATTCTCAAAAGGGTATAAACCTTTTCCACCCACATTCCTTTATTCTCATATTCTCAAAACTATTATAAATCTAATTTTATAACAAAATCATCCATTCACACAGATTCACTACAAAAAATTAATTAATTTCAGGATGCACTTTACCACACCAATATGATTTACTATATTCAGTTCTACAGAATAAAACCTCAGAAAACAAAACACAACTGTTGTATTTACAGGCAAGTATGGTGATAGATTCCATAGTCACCTATGATAAAGTATAACTTTATGTTTACACGTAGTTCCGTTCAATGACCGAACCGATCGAACGGCAAATATTACATTCGGTCTTTTTTTTCCCTTTCTCAGATGCTAATTAGAAAATGAAAGATTAAATGTTGGACAATTGAGTATTGTTCCATTTTTAGTGAAAACATTTTGTTAATTAACACGATGTGCTGTGCAACTTGAAATATGTCTTTACAAAATCTTACAGAAAGTGTAGAATTCAAACTGCATAAATACAAATGGTCCAGTGTTTTAAAGAAAGAAAAATAAAATGCGGTGTGAGTTTAAGCATAGACAGATTGAAGGCGTTAAATATTCATCTGGAAGATGTTGAACTAAGATCTTGTTTTTTGTAAGAATTTGCGACTTGCATGGTAAATGTGGGGATCATGGACATGTGTATTAAGTATTTCAGTCTCTGGAGAGGAAATGACTTAGCATGCTTGGTCGGAAGATAATTCTATTAATCAAGAACTGTTCAAGTGTCGGAAGGTCAAGGATTTTACATGTATAAATACTAATTGGACATAATTATGTACAACATACAGTTATTTTTACCGAATATTAACTTTTCTTTAAATGTACAGTTAAAACACTAAATGGCATTTGAATTATGTACCAAACGCTCACTGATGAGAAAATATAAAAGGATTTTAGGCCATTTTACCTAAACTCCAATATATGCATTTAGTTTGTTGACTATTAAGTTTGAAAACGTGTAACACACCATACTCAATATAAACCGTTCTTATGCTTTAATATGTGTATTTTGATTACACGAATCAACGCGACTGTCTTCTTAAACAAGAGAAAGTTTTGGGTAACTGGGTATTTCGAGACTAGGTCCCGGACTGCACAACTCAAAGGACTCGACTGGATTCGACAGTTTTCTTAAGGCTTACAAATGTCCACGTTTTTGTTTTCCTGGTGTGTTTGTGTCACTAGTTACAAATCCAGAAGAGACACTAATATGTAGGAAATAGGAGCATTGCCGATAGCAAACGCATGATCTAAATTTTATCCGCAACTAAATTGGTTCGATAATTTTAGAAGAAGCTTGTGCTGTCTTTACAAGGGTACTTGTTGGTGAAAACCGATATCAAAGGTGCCCAGGACAAATACACAGTGATTTCTTTTAACCGTTAGTCAAACACTAAATTCTTAGGAAAGCTAGAAAAACGATACTTCTGGAATGTGCAAGAATGGTGGTACATTTTTGCCCTATAATAATTAAGAGTCCGATGATAGGATGACGATATACGATGATGACAAGTTGTCCCAAATAACGTCCTATCAGCTGTCACTCAAAGCGGTTAGCATGGAACGGCGCTTTAAAATATTTAGTTTAGTTAATTTGTAATTAATATCCAGACAGCTGGAGGTCCGTCTGTCATTCATCATAATGTTTATTCAAAAACAGAGTAACGTATAAACAATGTATCTTTTGTGCTCAAGAGTA